TGGGGTTTGGCATAACCATTGTTGCTGTGCAGGAATGCATATCCACTTATACGTTTTCTGATCAATTTATATAGCGTTTGCCAGTAGTGAACTAGGAAATAAAATCTAACTGTCAGCTTTATCTAAAATAGAATTTATCTGAGATGTTAAGAGATTGTGATCAGTAAATGAGTTCTTTAGGTTTCAGCATGAGTAGAAAATGTGTTAACAATGCATGCGCTTCTCTGTACATGCTCTCCGTGAAGAAAAGCTCTCATGATCAGAATGCAGGTAGTTGGAGTTTCCCTTCGATTTCCTGAAACAAGGTTCCTCAAACAGTATGCTTGGAAGCTTCAGCTTGCAATATTAATTGCACGTCAGGTTCCAGATGTACAGAAAGAATTTCACTTGACAGTAATGTCTAACAATTTTGAAATCTTCCTCGGCTTATTCTGCCCGTATGATGCCGTTATTATCATTTTTGTTCTTCCCTTTTAAATAATCATTAATTATCAGAGATCGGATACTTCAAAATGAATATTTGGAGTATCCGATCTCGGATACTCCAAAAATTCATTTTGAAGCATTTATTGTAAGATTATAGCTAAATACTTTGTTCATGAACCATTGAAATATCTAAAAAAGCTCCACATAACCCGAAAGTTAAATACAAAAATTCAAATAGGCCGAAAGGAATATATACTTCCATTTTGAGTATGTGATCAGGAGGCACTGTTATACGAAACTAAACTCGACCAGTATATATTTTCAATAAGATAATTTTGCCAAAGAAAGCAATAAAAAAGTCTTGAACGCGTGCAATCGAATAACGATGTGGAACTGCGCGTTCGTATAATCACCAACTGGTCGTACTGATTGGAACTTTTCCAAACAACAAACTATGATGAAAACTACCATGACTTAGAAACTCGAGAGATTCCTCGGCCAAGCAATGAACCGAAATTCAGTTTTAACTGCATCGAAAATTTTTGGATATACGTAAGGAGGTTTACGTTGAATAAGAGGACTTGTGATTCCAATGTATGTATGATATTGTATTTGACAGATGAGGTTTTACAAGTTTATGTGAATTCTGCAAAATTTTTATGGAAACATGCATTTTATTAAATACGTTTGACGGACACAATAAGATGATACGATATGCGATAATACCATAATATATAATACAGCACTTTTTGTGCTATCAATGAGCATGTTGGAGTTTAAGCCAAGTAGATTTTTAAAGTTTATTAGAAAATCTAGTTTTATAATGGGTACTGGCATGAATGCTATTAAAAATTCCCGTTTGAAGTTAAGCCCCAAAGCTAAATCTACATCCAATAACATAGAGTAAAAAGTGTAAATAATTAAAGCAGTTAAATAAAAAAACAAATTAATTGAGTTGAAAATAATTAATATAGAAACTAGTAAACATAATGCTTGCAGAAATGTATTACATTAAACCAAATAAAAACTTTCAAATTATTTCAAACAGTATGAAATCCCTTAACGATACTAAATATTAAGTTTAAAAAGAAAATATAAAATATTCAAAGCGTCTTTTAATGAAATTAATTAACTCATTCAGACAATCCGTATCATTATAATTATTTATTTTTATACTGAAATCTTTCAGACACAGAAAATAAAATTTACAATCTCATAAAAGTTTGGAAATAATTGTGTAACTAACAGACATTCATAATGATTTTGCACATGAATTTAACTCCTTTCAATTGACTAAAGAATGCGAATATAAGATAATAATTAAATGAATGACTGCAGACTTGAATGAGAATAAAATATAAGTCCTCCTGCTGTGAGCTGATAAGAAATAATGAATGTTTCTTTCTCTGCTTGTATTATTGGATGTCAATAAAGATAACACTAATTTTTATGTTGCAAAAAGATAAATGAATAAAAGAACGAATACTTCCGCTTGTTATAAAGAAATAAAATGCATAGTGTATTCATGTATATAGTATGAATAGAATTCATATATATAGTACAATGTAATAATTAATCAAGTAAATGTCTGCTTCACGAGAATCTAATATTGTTGTATGAAAAATCAGTGACAAAAGGTCAGATGGCCAAAAAAAAAAAAAAAAGTTAAAAAAAAAATGCGTACACATTCGATTTTGCTCGCCCGCGCCAATTCATAGCGGAGTGGGAAGGGGGCAACGTATGATATAATAATCAACCAAATACGAGTTATGTTTTTGAATTACGCAACGAATATTAGCAAGACGTTTTGCCACATAAAATTGCGATAAGTATTTACTTATAAAAAAATGAATTAAGCCTTTTCATTTCTAGTCTGTCCGAAAGAAGAGAAACAAAAACTGGTATCATTTTAACAAGTTTTTCATCTTCAGTTTACTGGAAATAAAACCAGAGAACAAAATTTCGCAGGATAAATTTTTGCATAAGAAATAACAAGTAGTATTTTATCTTTTCTTTTGTAGCTGAATCGCACGTATAAAATGAAAGAATAAAACATGTCTTTTCTTTAGACAGAATTGAAAGAGAAATTCTAGAATTGCCGCACGGCGCTGTAGGGAAGGATATCTTTTTCCCTGACTTAATGAATGAAGACAAAATGCAGCCCGAAAAATAGTCTACTTAAAAGGATGTATATCTCTTGTACACGTTTTTCAAAGGAAACAACCTCGTACTATTCATTGAAGAAATTATGATGCCAAGAACAATGTAATATTCTATAATGAATACGTCGAGGAAGCAGCAATAGTGAATGACTTTATCCTTGTTCTAAGGGTGAATGCATTTAATAGTAAACATATTTCAATGATGATGAATTTGATTTACTTGCAATAGTAAGAATGCAGAGCTTAAGCTTTTATCATTACATTGCGAAATAAGTATTTTCAAAAATATATTACAGAAATAGATTTGAATTTTGCCAAAACTTGACGTACAATATAAAATTGTCTTATTTAAATAAGTATTACACGTTAAAAGTTCTATTTAACTTTTTCCAATTTGCTGACGAAAAATTAAATATGCAAATAATTGTTATAAGATGTCATGACCATTTTCATAATAGTTAGATTAATCTAAGAAATTAGATATAAAATAGATTGTAACATTTGATAAAACCTCGGAATAAAAGATGAGAGGCAAAAGTTAAAAGGTGATGTGCGTCAGAATTTGTCTTTGCACTGAAAGCTTTCCTTGTGTCATGCAAAGCTTTCGAGCAAAAATAAATGCACTGTTCTCATTCGTAACCGCGTAAAAAGTATTTTCAGACGCGCAGTTAATGATCCTGCAGCTCTTTAAGCTCGCACACAAGGAACTCTGGCAGTGAGCCAAAAGCAGTTGAAGAAAGCCGGATTTCCTAACTGAAAAATTTTTTTAAATTGTAAACATTCCTTCGCGTCGGCGAGCGAGGAAACAAAATAATTTAATACTTTTACTTTCTGATGTAAGGAATTACCTGGAAAGATACAATTCTCTCGCGGTTGGTCTTGGGGTGAATCGATGAGAAGAGAATTACTCAAAAAATTGTATCCTCGGACATCTAACCTTTGGTATTCAATACATATTTCAAAGAAAGCTATTTTAGTTCTCATAGTTAAAGAAATTAAACAAATGACTAAGTAATAACTATTAGCAGCAAGAAAAAGAATTCGAAACTATGCTACTGTGATAAAGATCGCTTAAGAAGAAGTCATAGAGCTCTCATTATGTGGATACCGATGTGAGAGAAATTGAATAATTAGGATCTCCCTAGATACTATTTCAAACTGGCATTTGGAAAAAAAAATACTAAAATACATTAGAGAAATAGTGATGCCTATATATAACACGTTTGAAACGGCAGTATGAAATTCGTTACAATCGAATACTTGAAATACTTATACTTGAAACGCATAAAATCATACATCACATGTCACAAAAACATCGAGAATTTATGTATATAAAATTAAAATTACCTAGACCCCCTACTTAAAGTTGAAGTACAGGAAATTTCAATAAATGAAGAAATATTAATATAAAATATATAACAGGTTAATTTAATCACTGGAGAAGGAAATCAATAATTTTGTCGCTAATTTATGAGAACTTTAATTACTACATAAAAAATTAGAAAAATAATTCAAACGACACACTATGATTTATAAATTTATTTTAAATGTGCGATTTTCTATGTGGAATTTTTTCCACATAGAATCTAGTTCTTAAAGGTATTTAGAGTATTAGACCTGAAGACAGAAATGTTTTCTGAAATTTAAAATTGTAATATGACAATGCACAGTTACAAAATAATCATAAACACAAAAAATGACGCAATTCTTTTATTATCATTATATTTTTCATTAATAATTTGCAGTCGTTTCACTTGTACCTTTAATAGAGTTTTTAAATTTTGTATTGAAAAGTTTCGTTTGTAAGGCCTGAATGATTAAAATTCGATCATAGTTTAAACGCTTATTCAGAAGGTATGTCTAGATTTTATTATAGATACCACGCTCAAGACTTTAAGAAATAGAAGTTCATTGAATAGAATCTTACTGAAATATTAAAATACCATGAAAAGAAATCATAAATGATAATGGCATTAGGTACAATTTAAGGAACTATAGGATTTCGAAATGTTACTTGAATTTAATCAACAGAAGGCGAATGAATATTAAATAAGTGACTGTTAAAAAGGGGTGTGAAATTTTAAAGCGGACTAGAATCGTCATTTCATATATATTTATATTCATTTAAATGATGCTCTTACGGTTTCTAATTTAAAAGTAGGAGAAAGAATGAGCCTACTTTAAATGATTTTATGCGAAAAAATGCACACATTAACGTGAATTGCAGTTTGGCACTTAAGATAGGAATTTAATATTGTTAAATAAAGGTATTAAGTACGTATTAAGATCAATTGTGGGTTGATACTTGGTTTAAAACTTTCACAGATAAGAACCACTTTTATCTTCATAATAATACTTTTATTATTCGTACTTTTTATACTATGGAAAATACTCTGAACTTGTCTCTCTCACCTCTCAGAGCTGGAACAATGATTGATGTTGATCTCCGGCATCACTGGTTTCTCGAGTGCGGCCACAAGAACTTTCACCTTCGGCCACCTGGCCCTTATTGAAAAAAAAAAAGACATAAACGATTTCAAGCATCAGTAAATCAAATATTTCACTTTTAACGTACACATATTAATGGTCTTCTGCTTTTGACTTCCTGTTTTTCTTTCATATATTTTGCAAGTGTAATATTTAAATTTTTAAGGGAGGTAGAAATCCAGTAATTCCATGCCGAAATTATGATTGATATTCGTATTTTCTCAGTACCTAACTGAAAATATATCCGGCTTAATATAAATGTCTTTCATTATAAATAATTTAATATAAATTAATTTTATGTCTTTCGTTGATCCATAACACGATTTTAATTACTTTCTGTGAGCAAACTCTCGGTTAGTTTACAGATGTTGTTATACCATTACAGTGTTGCAAGGATTAAGTTCAAGAAAAACTGGCCATGTACCTAAAAACATGTACTTATAAGCGTCCTTTGGTTTGAATGCAAGGTTATATAGGTGCCCAAAATAGGACTGGTCAAGTAAAGTAGTATTTATGGAGTTTCGTACAAATGTACTCTAAACTGCAAAGAGATCAGCAGAAACTGAAATAGACGTTGTTTAGTGATCACTTGAATGCAGTACAAAATGTTACTAACGGTAAAACAGCGCGTGTTCATTCTTGAGTATTAGGCGAAGTACAATTCGTCAAAAACGTCTACTAAACTGTTTGAGCAAGAGTTTAAGAACGGAAGTGTATTGGCAAAATCTCTAGAGAAATATGCAGTGGTGACAAAAATGGCAAAATGGCACGAAACTTATGACTAAATGACAGTTCTCTTGGTCATTAACAAGGGCAAATGTAGAACAACAAGCAATTTCTGAGTCAATTTTATTCTGGCCATCCTGTACAATTTGGGAACAAATTATTAGATATTTCTTATTTCCACTGAAGGATTTTCGCTTAGAAAAATATAAAAAATTTTCTTTTAAATTCTAAATTACTTAAATCAGTAGTAAATGTTTATAAGTGTCAGTCTTTCAAAGCTGAAAATTCGTAAATGTGGAAACTCAAGACCTTTATAATAAGTGCGATTTTCAACCCCCATTAAAATACTGTCAGCAAAGCCAAGATACCAATTTTGGTTGTTATTTATTATGAAATTTATGATAAGTTCTCAATACATACTTAAAGTAAAACTGGCCCGTAAAACTGGCATTTCTTCAATTATTTCAAATATGTTCATTGGTAGTCATTAAATCTATCGCTGGCATTTACTTTTATGAAAAAAATAAAGACATGGCCGATGGAGTTCTAAATGCGTTCATTTAAAAATTTATCAAGTTAAATAGCTGGCCTTCTATGTTAGATGTCAAACTATGAGACTTAATCTGCAAATCTGAAAACTGATATTGAAGTGACATTGCTGTGCATAAAAGCATTACAAGGCATAAAAGCATTACAAGCATTACTACGCTGTTTCATATTTTGAAAGAATATAGCATAATTCGGTATAAAGTGAATGTCTTTTCTTCTGCAGTTTTTCTCAAGAGTAAAATTTTGGAAGTAAGTTGTTTATGCGAATAAACTTGGTTAACTTCACGCTTGCACAGCTTTTCATTCGGTTCTAATTATTTCGCAAGATAAAAAATTATATTGCCAATAGTCTTAAAGTTTTAAGCATAAAACTACACAGACAAGTATATTTGATTGTATTTGGGAATATTTCAACAAACTAATCAAAACCACAAATTATGAACTGTACGTCAAAGATAATCGTACTCATCCTTTTAAGCTCTAACTATCTAGTATTTAGTATTTACAACAATGAATGTAAAATCGTCTGCTTTTGTAATGAAAATCTCTAGTATGTTAAATAAATTCATACGTATAAACTGAAGAAGTGTTTTCTGCAATTAAGATATTCAGTATTACAGAAATTATTACTCTGTTAGGATAAAATTTAATTCTGAATACATGTAAGCAAGTGCAGCGAAACTGTTAACATTTGGTGGCTTTAATATTGATATCTTCGTTAAATATTAGTATGTCAAACAAACCTTTCATAAAACTAATGCTTTATTAAGTCTTAAACGTTGTTTTACAGGTATTTACAGCATTTGATTATTTCTAATATTTATTTTTACGATGGTTATTTTATTTATTTATTTCACGATTTTTACATATTTATCTGCTTATTGGTATTTCTAACGTTTAACTTTTTCTATTTATTGCACATAAAACAGAGAAAATATTAAATATTACATGCTATATACCCAAGTGGAATTGTTATTTTAATTTTTAGCTAACTTTATGGTCATAATACACATAGTTTTATCTATCATCAATTTTATCAGTTTTATCTATTATTTTTCAAATTTGTTATAATTTACCGTAATTTATTATTAACATTCTTGTATAACCCAAACGTGTATTTTAGATCGTTATGATAGCAGAGAATTATATTATAATTAGAGAAAACTGGTGAATCTGACAGTAATAAGGCTTGCTACCTTGCATACATTAAATATGCTATTTTTTTAAATTTCTGCAAGTTCTTTTATATGTATGACGTTTATTGTTCGTTTTCCTTTCTTATAGTGCATAGCAAATGTTTCAGAGAGCAGTTTTTAAATCCATTAATAATTAAGCCATCTCGTCAATCGAATTCATTTCCACAGTTTATCTGAAAGATACTGTTTTTAAAATTCATTAACAGCGCGCAATGTTAAGTGCGTTGTGCATAAAGCTTTACAGAATTTCACTTCAACAAAAGCTTATATCCTGTATATTTTTCTGATCTCAAATAATATATTTTTGTTATAAGCAGCAGTTTTCAAGAGATATCACTTGTTGCCGCTATGTGATAGTATATACATTATCCATAAAAGCGTGTAATTTAGATATATATATATATATATATATATATATATATATAAAACGTGTATATATATATATATATCTATCTATAAGGAGGAAAACAGGAAAAATCTGAGACCTAGTAGGTCAAAAATTGCGCTTGAGCTGTAAATTTTAAAACATAATAAATAAAAGGAGAGGTAAAAAATACTAAAGCCGTAAAGAAACATTTAAATCTAATTCCAGAGAATACATGTTAAACAAAGTTAAAATAACCAAAGGTAATAAAGCAATAAATTGCACGCCTTATAAGGTTTTCTCCAACTCCCCTAGCGTGCCTTCGTGGTGTGAACGGCTGCACACTGGGCCGGTATTCAGAGGTCCGTGGTTCGATTCCGGCGCGAAGGCGTTTTCTATTTTTCATCTTTTCTGGCTTTCCAAAAATCCTAATGTCTCTAAAGTGGCGCCCGAACTAAAAGGGTTGTGATGATGATTTCTCTCTGCACCCAGGATTTGGCGACTAGGTCCGCTAAAACCCTAGTCGCCCTTTTAAAAAGGGGAGTATATAAGGTATTTCTCCCACTTCCCTAGCGTGCCTTCGTGGTGTAACGGTAGCACCGTGGTTCGATTCCCGGCGAAGGCGGTTGCATATTTTTCATCTTTTCTGCTTCCAATTAACCTAATAACTCTACAAGGTAATAACTTACTTATTAAACAAGGAAAACTATACAACAAAATCAAAATTGGTACGCGACAAAAATCTAAACAATTTACAAATTACTGAGAAAAAGTTTAAGGCTCAACACAATAGTGCCTGAAGCCCTCAACCCAGCTGATTTTCCAGAATAAATTAAACAGGATTTTCCAGAATGAATTACATATATAATATGTATACATATATAAAATCTAAATTATATTTAATTAAAACATTACGTATGTGCATATAGTAATGCTAAGTAAAACTATGGACAATGCTTTTATATATGGGTGTACAGTTTATTGGTGCTTTTCATATTTTGCTTTTTTTTTTTTTTCTAAATTCCACGTCCTCTGAAGAGTTAACTTTTATCAATAACCAGAATCGCACTCAAAAACGAAAGACATTTCGTTGCGGTCAACTGTGTAGTGCTGGCTCAGACAGACGTTTTGCCTATCTAAATCAGTACTTCGCTGAATTCATTGCAACATCACTCGCTTTAAAGAACGGGAATGATGTTTATAAAGTGTCCTAATCAATCATCTTACTTTTCTCTGATACATTTTTGATGTGTTAACTTTAAGTCAGAAACTCTGCCGGTGTGAAAGAACCTTATAGAAATTTTAACATACTTTTATAAAAGATCCAGCAGGAAAAATATGACAAGAGACGACACTTTCGTCATTATTTACAATTGTCACTCTCCTGAACTGATCTAGGGTAACAAAATATTTTAGTTTACTTTGCGAATGGGGCAGCCGAAACCAAGAAATCTATTACGTTCGAAATCAATGACCGAAACGGGCATCATTAATTCCAAGAAAGTAGGTGGGAAGAACTTTGCTAATCTTTCTGGGTTAAGAACTTTGTTTACCTACAAATTATATAGGATTTGTATGTCTCAGAAACAAAGTTTATAACGCAAGGTTCTAACACAGCAAAAGCAAACTAGGTATTTTTGGAAGACGACAAATATGAAAAGTATTTCTTAGCCAATATTTTCATCAGGAGGTATTATTTTTGTAAAAAGCCGCCCTATCGGTATAGTGGTTAGCGTCGCTAACTGCTGTGCCGAAAAGCCCGGGTTCGAATCCCGGAGAAAGCAGGGATGTTTGTAAATGTATAGTGTCCGTGTTTCATGGGGGCACTCTAACTATGCGGCGAGCCGAAAGTCCTTTCGAGAGGTTGGTAGTAGGGGAAGAGGGGTGGGAGACGTTCGGAGCAGTCTCTTCGGGGTGCTCTCCATCAAAATTGGGGGTGAACTGTGCCAAATCACACTGCCACCTGTAAATTGCTGAAGGCTATTGCCAACGAAAGGCGTAAATTTGCCCTACTTGCCACGAGGAATTTCGTGGGCTTGGGCTGACTATAGGTCAGACAAGTGAGGATCAGCAACAACAACAGCATTTGTAAAATGATGGAAAAGGACAAGATTTAACTTTAATTATAAGTTTTTCTGTCACGATATGGCTAAATATTACACATTAAGACAATATTTCGCTTT